GAACCTCTGACCTTAAGGTTCGCAGCCCGATTCATAACCAGTGCGCTACCAGAGCTATACTTCAGCTAAAATTGCACATTATAACAGATTGAATGAAGAGGGGAATATGAAAAACTAGCTATCTTATATTAAGCCAGAAAATAAAAATATTTTTAAAAAAAGTATTAAAAAGTCACTCTTCTCACTAAAGTATTTTTTGTTTTGGAAATGTACTTATTCTTATAAAAACGTTATTTATATTAACTTTTGATTGTTTTATTACTATTTTAATGAGTTACTATATGCATATTTTAAATTCTTCTCAGTTTTAAATGCTAATGTAAATATCAACAATTACAATGTACATGAATAGATATTTCTTTGGGATGCTCACTAACTTTTAAAAATGTAACGGGATCATAAAACTTAAAAAAAGAATTAGATTTGTTGCTGGAATCCATGAAAGTTAAGGAGAGAAAGAAGACAGGAATATTATTTGAAGAATCAAAGAAATGTCTGATAAACACATAATACTATATTTTAAGATTAAAGATAAAAGTATATAGTAAATAATTCTGGTGGCTGTGTGCTGTTGAGTCAATTCTGGCTCAAAGCGATCCTGTATAGGGTTTCTGAGGCTGTACATATTTACAGAAGCAGAAAGCCTCATCTTTCCCTGAAGGGCAGTTGGTGGATTCAAACTGCTGACATTGTGGTTAATAGCCGAATTCATAGCCCTCTATTCAACCAGGACTCCTTTCAGTAAACAGAACAGTAAGCCTATAATAATTCAGATGAATAAATGACTTGTGGAAGAGGTTAATAGTTGAATAAGTGGGTAAATAACTAAACTAGAATAGTTGTAGGATGGAATTAGCTAAATGTAAATTCAAAATAATTTTGGAAGTAATAATAGTATGTTTTGGAAAGTTAGTTGACTCAGAGAGCAAGAGGAAACATCAAATACAATTTCTACAACATGAATTCGAAGAGACAACAGAAAAAATAATTTACAGGAAATAAACACATTATTATTGTTTTAAATAGAAAACATGGGAAGGAAAGCATATTTAGAAGGAAAAATAAATTTAATTTTGGATGTGTTTCATCTTTGAAACCTATGGGACATCCAAGGATTTCCAGCAGCCTACTGAAAATGGGAAACCAGTGATTAGAGAGATACAGATTTTACTGTCATTAATCCATGTGGAAGAATTTAGATGAAATGATTGAGATGAGAGAGAAACAAAAGCATATCTTTCTTTATAGATAACCAATTTCCAAAAGTTTCACTTTCCATATTTGACATACCTTGTATTTATACTATGAATATGCTTATATTAGGAAACCTGATCTTCTAAAACATATGAATCAGGAGAGACTAAATTAACATTTCAAAATTAGTATAGGAAGCTTATTTAATGTTCTTTATAAGAAGAGGCGTTCTGCTCCCAAAAAGATTTACAGTCTTGGAAACCCTATACAGGATCGCTGTGAGTCAGAACTGACCCCAAGGCACATAACGACAACAGCACCATTAACATAGCTGAAGTCCAATCTTTCTCAAATGAGATTCACAGCATGCTTTTCAAAAACACAAAGCAAATAAGGTACACAGGCAGCATTAAACAGTCATGTTAAGGTTTTCAGTAATATTAATATGAATAAGTTACCTCTCTGTTTAGCTGAGATGATGCCATGGTGATGACACCGGTTTTGGGGTTCATAGAAAACAGTGTAGGTGACGCTGGGATTTGCTCAATGATGGAGTACTTGAGACGTGTATGCATTGTGTCAGGCTCATCTTTGTCAGTTGCGCATACCTGTCCCACAGTAGAGCCTATATATTGCAAAATCTCCTTTAGTTTCCAAACATTTGACAACATTTTCAATTGTTCCTCTTATTTCACTCCTCTCCATCAATCTCAAAATAGTGTTGTTATTTTAGAGTAATGGTTTCTTTCAAATTTCAAAGTTCTATGTTAAGTATTGTTAAGTACCACTTCCTTTTAAATATTTAAACATCTCAAAGTTAACATATAAAAATTTGGTGACGTTACACATGTTTATTGTATTTAATTTATAGTTAAGATAATGCCCACAATATTATCAACTAGTTAATCACTATCATTGTTCTTAAATGCGGTAGAGTCAGTTCTGACCCATAAGAACCCTTAACAGGGTTTCTGAGGAGCAACAGGTGAGTTTGAACCACTGACTTTTCTCTTCAAGTAGACTTTAAGGTCCAGTGCTTAATATTTTTAGTATCAGTAGATACCTTCAAGGCTAAGTCTTCATTGCTCAAAATTTGATTCCTCTTAGAGTTTGTCCCCATAAAAGTATATCTGGCTTACCTCACACAGGAAAAGCAAAGTAGCATGAATTGAGTTACTCTTATTTTCAGGCATTATGATTGGCATTCTATGTCTATTATGCTTCATTTAATCTTCATAACAATCTTGCATATCAAAATGCCATTTTACAGATGAAGAAATTAGGGTTAGGCAAGATTAAGAAACTTGCTAGTTAAAGGTCAAGTAAAATTTCACCCAGTGCAGGCTGACTAGCAAGGGAATTGTTCTTTCCCAACACATGTTATTTTCCACTAGCCATAGTGAAATTGTGAAATAGTGGACTTCTGGTGTGGCACTATAGGATCAGCACTGGACTGTGAACCACAGTCAGTAGTTCTAACCCACCAACTGTTCCTTGGAAACCCTGTACAGGGCCACTATGAGTCAAAACCAACTCCATGGCACTTAATAGCAACAACAATAATGAAATTTATCTTATTAACTGAAATACATTGCTGAAAAAATGCTGAAATGCCTGTCTACTAGCCAAAAGGTTAGCAGTTTCAACCCAACCAGAGGCACTTTGAAGTTGTGGTGTGGTGCTGTAGGATAAGCACAGGACAGAAAGGTCAGTTTGAACCACAAGGTTGGCAGTTCAAACTCATCAGCAGCTCCTCGGAAATACCATACAGTATCACTGTGAGTCAGAACTGACTTGACTGTACTTAACAACAACAACAGAGGCACGTTGGCAAACAGGCCTGACATGGGCTTCTGAAAATTTAGCCTTGAAAACCTTATCGAGCAGTTCTACTACATGCATGTGGGGTCACCATGAGTTGTATTCTACTCAGCAGCAACTATGGTGTAATGAATTAGTTCATGTCTCTTCTACACACAATCTTTGTAAACTCCCAACAAATAACTTTTTCCTAATAGGTTTGGGTAAGAGAAGGTAGAGGAGGATTCTGATAGATTATATGATCCCATTGTAGGTGACTGTCAACAGAACAAATTGTGAAAACTTGGGACTCTCACATGGTATAAAATGAGTCATTTCAAAAGCAGAAAGGGAATCGCTGTATCATAGAGAAGAACCAGGAGTGTAGCACATCATTTGGACCTTGAGATCCCTGCTCACTGAATCTCCTCTACCCAGGGAAAGAGCTGTGCCAACAGAGGAGTGACAGAGGAGGAACAGCAGAACCAAGAGCCAGAGCATGAGACAGAGCAGTGGGCTTCCCAACCCAAGAAGCCAGTAAATCTGAGCGCTTTCAGGAGGAGACTTGCTTCCAGAATGGGCTGTCACCAGGCACTTGATTGAGGGAGTTAGATTTGGTGACCCAAAGAACTAGAACCAAGCATCTTCAGGCTGAAACTGATAGTGGAATGGGTGCCCCGTGGGTATTTATCAGCAGCCCTTAAAGAACTGTGTAGCACTGTAAGAACGGGTCATATGTAAGGTCTAGGGCTTACAGCCAGAGAAGGGACTACCTGTGGACAAGGCATAGGAGAAGCTGTCCTGCCTAGAACAACTATACTCTAACATTTTCTGATCTTGAATTGTAACTTTCTAAGTTTCCTCATAAGCTCCATAACTGTGAGTATGATGCCTGAGTTCTGTCTGGTCAATGTAGTGAATTATCGACCTCAGCAAGTCGAGAGTTCAGTGTAGGAAGAGTAGTTTGGTGCCATTTTTTGCAGCAACTCACAACAAATATTATTAAAATAAATGGCATTGGATACTTATCTTCCATGTGGGAGACCCAGGTTCAGTGCTGGGCCAAAGTACCTCAACTGATGTCACACTGCTCCATCAGTGGAGGATTTTATGTCACTATGATGCTGAGCAGGTTTTCACACTAATACGGACTACAGAGAAAGGTCTAGAGGTCCACTTTCAAAAATCAACCTATGAAAACCTCATGGATTGCAATGATTTGATCCCAGTGTGTGTAGGATCACCATGAATCAGGGGGACCAACTTGACAGAAGCTAACAACAAGAACATATTATTAAAGTAGATACTCACCAACTCTGCAGTTTTCATAAATTGTAAAAACGTAAGTTGTTTCTGTGAAAATTGGGTAATTGTCATTTTCATCTTCGATTTTGATGACTAGGGTCAATGGAAATTCTATAGTATACTCATCTGAAGTTGTTGCAAAGGCAGTTAACTATGAGGAAAAAAGAATGACAATAATCTATTAAAATAAGATATGGTTCAAATTTAGCTGAACTTTACTTTGGATAATTCAGCCTCACCACTTACTACTGTTTTAAAGCCAACAGAGATGGTTACATTCTTGGTGTAAGAAAGCACCATTTGATGTTTTAATGTATCTAATTAAATAGCATAAATACATTTTAGGCTCTTCACATTGTTGTACTGTTGTCAGGAGCCTAATGGTTTTTATTATTATTTTCCCAAAACAATCTTATAGATGTTTTTGTTCTGTTGTGTTGTGTTTGAAAGCTTTTGAATATTAAATGCAGCTTTCAGGAATTTTTTTTTTAACTTTGGATTCTTTAGGATTTCATGAAACTGGGATATTATTTTATTTTCTACTAGTTGGGATTTTAAGCATATCGATGGTTGTTGTTATTGGTAAGTGCCGCAAAGTCAGTTTCGACTCATAGAGACCCTGTATAGGGTTTCTGAAGAACTGCTGGTAAATTCTTATCACCAACTTTATGGTTCAAACTGATCTTTTAGTCCAACACATCATCCTAAAGCACAACAACAGAACTCTTTCTAAAACATTTTTTTAATTTTAAAAAGGAGTCAGAAATAGAGCAGATGAATGGCTGTCAATTATACAAGTGGTGGTTGGTGGTTGTGTGCTGGGATGTCAGTTCTGACTCACAGCCACTCTGTATAAGGTGTCTGAGGCTGTAATTCTTTAGGGGAACAGAAAGCCTCATCTTTCTCCTGAGGAGCTCCTGGTAGATTAGCACTGCTAAATTTGCAATTAGCAGACTAGTTCATAATCCATTATATTACATAGAATGCAATTTCTTATCATTTTATTATATGAGTATCAATTCCAACTCTTCTTGTAGCAGTTATTATAAAAAAGCAGTTTCATTTTGGATGGATTCAGTATAGTAGAATGTACTGAATTGACTGAACAGACATGTACAGTTTCAATTACACATTTAGATTTAGAAATGCTCGCTAATATATACTATAAGCAATGAATTCATTCAAAATAAACACAAAAATCATTAACACTACGTAGCTCAAAATGATGAGGTACCATTGGGAAATAAAAGCATAATTTGGTAGAAAACTTATATAGTAATTATCATTCCAATACGTTAAGCAGATGATTAAACAAGAGCCCTGGTAGTGTAGTGGATTCCGAGCTGGACTATTAACCACAAGATCAGCAATTGGAATCTACCAGTTGCTCTGGAGAAGATGAGACTTTCTGCTCCTATAACAGTTTACAGCCTCAGAATGTATATCTTCACTGTGAGTTGGAACCTACTCACCAGCAAACCAGCAGCTAACCACTACTCACACCTTCTTACCTGCTCACCACAAGTTAGCTTTCTTCCATTGCAAAAGTACTGAGCTGTGATATCTCTTCCTTACTTACCTTTTATCGTATTTCTGTACCATAAAGAGGTTCATTGATCTTTTCTGCCAACTAAGTAACTGCTCTTTCAAGTGGCACTGTTTATTCTTTTGGGGAAAAAAGTAGTAAAACTATAATATCAGGACCAATCTACATAGAACCCAGTGTTACTGATTTTTCCATCAAAATAATCTTTGTTTTAAGTCAACTCCATGATAGCAGATATTTTGTCATTGTCAAGTGCCATCAAGTCAGTTCCAACTCATAACAACCCTGCATAGGGTTTCTGAGGAGCAACAGATGGGTTTGAACCAGTGACCTCATAGTTAGCAGTCCAGTGTTTATCCTACAGCACTATACCATCAGGCCATAATATGAGAAATTCAAAAACAAAAAAAGGGCAAATGAACTGAGAAGACCAGCCACTACTGACTTGATTCTGATCCACTGCAGCCCTACAGAACAGAGCAGAACTGATCCTTAGGGTTTCCAAGGCTACAAATCTTTACGGGAGCAAACAGTTTCATCTTTCTCCTCAAGAGTGGCTGGTGGATTCAAACTACTGACCTTGTGGTCAGCAGCCCAACACTTAACCCATTATTATGTGGCCAAACATAGTACTTACTAGTATAATATATAAACTTTAAGTTTTACCTCAAAAGATTCATACTGCTCACGATCTACAGGATGAGTGCAAAACAAGTTTCCCGTGTCTCTCTGTACATAAAATAAATTTACAGGCTCTAGGTCAGCTCCATGCCCTCTTATGGAGTAGTATACAGTATAGTTTTGTGCTGTGTCAGATTGAATCTAGAAAGAGATATATACATAAAAGAAAAATTTATATTTCATAAGAACTTCCATTTATATATTTATGCAACCATATTATTTATTATTCCAACTAATAATTCATGGGAAAAATCTGTTCTTTATTTTTTATTAATGTGTATAAATACAAAACAACAATAGAACAATGAAGGTTAGTAACTGAGAAATTTAAAGAGCGAACATGAGGAAAATAATGTAGCATCTTTGTTTTCCAGAACAACTCAGGAATACTATAAAGGGTAAATGACAATCCCATGAAGCAAACATTTTTAGATTATGATACTTTCCTGTTTTAGAAAACAAAGTCTCATCAATATGGAAAGTGTTTTTTAAGAATGCAGTTTATAGAAGAACAGAATTTTTAATATATGTGCCATAATATTGAAGACATTGGATTGAAAGTATACTGACTACAGGGCATAATATTGGAAAATGCTTTCCCTCATGAATTTCCATTACTTGTCAGTGTCTTCCTAATGACAGGAGTTGAGTGGGAGGAAACATGTATGAATGAAGGTAAAACATGTATGAATCAAGGTAAAACATGTATGAATGAAGGTAAGAATGGCACAATATGTTGACAAGTATGATAGTCTGGTCCTTAATTCCAAAGTCATTTTCTTCTAAGATGTTTTCACTCTTTCAGTAAGATCGTAACTTTCTTTATATCAGTATGGCTAGCACAATTATTTAAAGAATTGTTTTTTCTTTCTACTTAAATATGTTCTTTTTTCATAGTGATTAAATCTGTCTGTAGGATACAAAGGAAGATTCTCTTTTAGTGTTTCAAGAACTGAGGGAAAAGTAACTATGTCATAAACTAAATGACAGCAGTCACTAACAGTGGAAGAAGGCATGGTTTACTGGGATTTCTATTGAAAGATCAAAGAAAAATATGTGGATCTTGTGTGATTGGAGAAGTGAGCCTTAGAATAAGTAACAAAGTATTTGTGTCATTCGCCTTTTTATGGCATCTGATTTTTTATCAGCAATTGACATCCTCTTTATGGAGTATTTTATTTCATAGACACTCTGATAACCTTTCTGATGTGAAAATTCACTAAGCAACCATGTGTTGAACCCTACTGATAGTTTTCAGTTTTATAAATGACACTGGCTTGACTAAAACTTACAAAAAACTAAGTAGATTAAAAACGCAAAAATTTATAGTCAGATATTGAAACGTATGCACATACTCACCCAAACACATCATTTTTTTAAATAACTGAATGCTCAGTGTCTAAATTAAAAAAAAAAAAAAAAAAGATGGAAACCATAGACTTCCAAAATAAAAGGAAAGTAGAATGTACCTGTTGAAGAAAAAGTGGGAAAGGACCCAAGGAATTCTCTTGCATTGAACAAGGAATAGGAGCCCATCTTCTTTTGGCACGTCTCAGAACTTTTTCTTTAGAATTCCTTTTCTTTAATACCTCAATTTAGAAGACCAAAAAAGAGTTAATGATAATTTATTTTCAGACTATCATACTGATATATCCTTTACCTCTCATAAGAATTAGCTGAAGAAGTATAAGATAAGGGTAATGCTTGCTTGAAAACCAAACGAAATACCAACATTTGAAAACAAAATAATTAAGACTAATAACTGCATAACTGTTTCACAGAAATTCTTTTAGAAAACAACTTAGTGGTAAAATGGAAAAGAGAGAAATGGAATTGGAAGCTTAGAAGAAAAGCTAAAAAAATAATAAAAATAAATTACTATTTCAGTATCACCATGCAATAACATGGGTGGAGAGATATGCAGTGAAAATCTGCAGAGCATGTATCTTTCTAAATTGAACATAAGCATCTCCCACTCACCAGCAACTAGGCAGAGCAAGGGAACCAACAGAGAGTTCTGTGTTAGAAAAAGGAGAGAAATATAGTGACAGTTCCAACTTTCAAACTGCAGTAAGTAGTGGTCAGTGGCTGAACAGAAGTAATTTTCATGTTAGAGGTCATAATACAATAATCATGCATGAAGCCCAAACCTCCACCTAAAACCATCATCTATTTTCTAAGACTACACGTTGTGTTATGATGGATTAAACCTCCGGAGATAAAAAATTTCAAAACTGGTTATTGGACATCTATCCATTCTACAGTAAACATAAAGAGATGTTTCTTTGTGTCTTATTCCAATTCTGGTGCTGTATCTATGCCAAATCCTCTTCTTTTATGTCCTTAACAAAAAAGATTAACAACCCATAATGACCTATGCTGTATAACTATTTTCTATTTGAACATAGTTAAATTGCCTGTGTTCATACAGAAAGCTCTATTATCCCATATCCTTTCTGATTCTACATCTTCCTTTGTACTGTGAATTATACTTGAAGAAAGTACACTATGAGACTCCATTTATATAGCCTGGGATACCTTTGTTTGATGTTCTAAAAGTACAATTATTTTTTTCTCTTGGTTCTCAGCGTTGGAAAGTAATATGGTAAAATTTCTCTTCTCTGAGGACAAAAGTATAGTATTTGTCGTATAAACTGAGCCATCTTCTAAAATTCGGAAATCAGGATCACTGGAGTGAATCAGATTTGCAGATTTAAAGCAATCCTTCAGGTTAACTGTACAAAATACACATAGCAATAATTTGTAAGGTAAAACATAAAAATAAATAGCTTTTCAATAATCTATGCATTTCAGAGACAGCCAAAAACTTACAAATTAAATATACTGAGTCTTGTAAATTTTTCATTTAAATGGTGTTTTTTGTTTTTTTTAAATTTCTCATATATCTGTATTGCTAATTATGATGAAAGGAGCTTTGTTAGCATAGTGGTTATAAGTTGGGCTGCTAACCTCACAATCAACAGTTCTAAACTACCAGCAATTCCGTGAGAGAAAGTTGAAGCATTCTGCTCCTGTAAAGATTTACAGCCTCGGAAACCCTATGCAGGGTCGCTGTGAGTCAGAACCAACTCCACGGCACACCACCACCATCAGTTATGTTGAACTTAAACATACAAACCCAAATCAAATCCACTGTCAACAAATCTATTCTGACTCAAAGTGACTCTATATACAGTTTCTGAGACTTACATGGTTTCTGAGACTGTAAATCTCATGGCTGGTGAATTTGAACCACTGACCTTGTTATTAGCAGTTCAATGCCTAACCCACAGCATCACCTTGGTTCCTACTTAAACACATACCTCATTTCTTATACCTACTTAACATCCTTCTAAGGAAGAAGAATCTGGAATTCAGTGCTTGAACACATAACACCAAAAAAAGCATTCTTTATTAAATAAAATAAGATATAGAGTGGCACATCAAATACTACAGAACTCATGAAATATGCTGTTAAATAGTCATTATTTTCTCATTGGTTCAATATTTTCTCAGACAGCTGAATGAGAAAACAGTGGAAAAATATCAATAGATGCAAAATATTTTTAAATAAAATTTTAAAAATAAGACCTTTAAACAAAAAATAGTTACAACACTATTTCTCAATATCATAGAAGCATTTTATAGTTCATATCCTCCATCTAATATTAATATTTTCTAATAATGTTATTAATATTTGAGCAGTTGCTTTATTACTTCAGCCTTTTATCTAATTCATATAGTGATGTTTTCAATGAAGAATAATATTCTTTTCATTGGAATGAAACCACATGTATCAAAAAGCAGAATTTATCAATTGTAACTTTTGGTCCCATCACATTTATCTTATAAAACTTACACTAACTGCAAAAGATAATATCAAATTCTGATTTATTACACATTTTGGCAGTTTCTTACCTCTACCAATAAATTTCTCAGCATCTAGTTTAGAAGGAACATGAAGTGTAAAATTGTTGCAGGCATCACAGACAAACGTTAAGATCTAGAAAAATAAAGTAAATGTTATATATTAACATAGCCTTTTAATGACTCAACAGCACTATACAACAATTTTTACCTACCGCTTTATATCACTGATAAATTTAAATGAACATATTATACCATTAATTAATTGAAGTAAAAAAGTAGAAAAACTTTTATGGAAGGGAAAATTGAATAGTAAACTCCCTCCTTCGTAAATCATCAAAGCTCAGAATGTTACTTACTCTCTTAGGTTTTGCTTCTGATTATATAGGATAGAGTTAGTAATAACTTCACTGACTAACTTGCTCAGTATACTATTGGTAAATGCCATGAAATCAGTTCAGACTCAGCAAGCTTTTACAGGGTTTCCGAAGAGCAGTTTGTAGGCATGAACCACTGACTTTGTGGTTAGCAGTCCAATGCTTATCCTACAGTGCCACACCAGGACACTGACCCATAGCAACCCTGTATAGGATTTCAGAAGCTGTAAATGTTAAAGATTCAAAAGCTTTAAATCTTTAACAGTCTCATCTTTCTTCCAAGGAGCACCTTGTAGGTTTGAATTGCTGACCTACAGTTGGTTGTTGTTGTTGTTGTTATGTGCCATGGAGTCGGTTCCGACTCATAGCGGCCCTGTACAGGGTTTCCGAGGCTGGAAATCTTTACGAAGCAGAAAGCCTCATCTTTCTCCCGCGGAAACAGCTGGTAGTTTCGAACTGCTGACCTTGCAGCTTGCAGCCCAATTCGTAACCACTATGCTACCAGAGCTCCAGAAAGAAAGTTTAATGAGCCAGCAGCATCATTTCAATAAATTTCTAATTGGAGTCCTGGTGTGGCAGTGTAGGATAGGCACAGGAGTGCTAACCACAAGATTGGAGTAGTTTAGAAAATATTTAACACTTCACTCAAACAAGTATATAACTTTCAAATATGAACTTTTGAAGGTGCATCTCCTCATATATGACTAGTCATTTTAGAAATAATTCACTTAAAAGTGTTTTAATGATTTGATGACTTATAAGAAGCCCTAGTGGTTCAGTGGTTACAGCATTTGTTGCTAAGCAAAGAGTTGGCATTTTGAACCTACCAGCCGCTCCCCTCAGTAGAAAGATGTGGCAGTCTGCTTCCATATAATTTACATCCTAGGAAACTCAGCTCTACTCTGTCTTTGCAAACTTTCTAGTAGTCAACAGGAGGTCAGTGGGAGTGGTTAGTGATTATGATGTTGTAGAATAAGTATTGGACTGCTAACCACAAGGTTGGCAGTTCAAACGCACGAACCAATCTTGGAAACCCTATACAGGGTCACTATGAGTTGGAACCAACTCAATGGCACAAAGCAACAAAAATTTCAATATGATATATATTTGTTGTTGTTGTTAGGTGCCATCGAGTAAGTACCAACTCATAGAGACACTATGCAGAACAGAACAAAACACTGCCCGGTCCTGGGCCAGCCTCACAATTGTTGCTACACTTGAGCCCATTAATGCTGCCACTTGGCCAATCCATCTCGCTGGGGGTTTCCTCTTTTTCTCTGACCCTCCACCTTACCAAACATGATATCCTTCTCCAGCGACTAATCCTTCCTGACAATAAGTCCAAGGTATGAGAGACTAAATCTGGCCATCCTGGCCTCCAAGGAGCATTCTGGCTGTACTTCTTCCAACACAGATCTGTTAGTTCTTTCAATATTCTCCTCTAACACTGTAACTCAAAAGCATCAATTCTTCTATGGTCTTCCTTATTCACTGTCCAGCTTTCGCATGCATATGAGGTTATTGAAAATACCATGGCTTGAGTCAGGCGCACCTTAGTCCTCAAGCTGATATCTTTGCTCTTTAACCCTTTTAAAGGTCTTGTGCAGCAGATTTGCCTAATGCAATACGTCATTTGATTTCTTGACTGCTGCTTCCAGGAGTGTTGGTAGTTGATTCAAGAAGAGTGAAGTCCTTGACAACTTCAATCTTTTCTCCGTTGAAAAGAATGTTGTTTATTGGGCCAGAGGTGAGGACTTTTGTTTTCTTTACATTGAGATGCAATCCATACCTAAGGCTTTGATCTTCATCAGTAAGTATTTTAAGTCCTCTTCACTTTTAGCAAGTAAGGTTGTATCATCTGCATATCCCAGGTTGTTAATGAATCTTCCTCCAATCCTGATATATTTGAACACAATGAAATTTGGTTCCATTCTTTCTAAAACTTTACAATTGATGCTTTTGAAAGATTCGTACTGTTTTTTCCCTGTAGCTTTGCAAACATCTTTGACCCAAACCAAGATGTTTAGTTCTAGCATTTATGTTATTCTTATAGCTATAAATGGAGTCCTGGTATGGTTCTGGCTGTAGTATAAGCACTTGACTGCAAGGTCTGTTTGAACTGAAAGATTGGCGGTTCAAACCCAGCAGTCACTCCTTGAAAGCCCTATGGTTTGCTATGAATTAGAATGGACAACAACACTTAACAACTACAACAATAAATGTTAAGGAGTCCAAGTGATGCTGTGGATTAGGTATTGGGCAACTAATTGAAAGATGGGCAGTGAAAACCCACCAGCTACTCCATGGTAGAAAGATGACGCTGTCTGTTTCGGTAAAGACATACAGTCTCAAAATCCAAAAAAGCAGTTCTCTATATGGTGACCTGGTATAGGGTTTTTGAGGTAAATCTTTTTGGGAGCAGAAATCTTCATCTTTCTCCCTTGGAGCGACGGATTCGAACTGCTGGCCTTTCAGTTAGCAGTACAGCTCATAATTCACTATGCTTCCAGGATTCCTATGTCCAGTATTGTTACTGTTGTTGTTAAGTGCCATCAAGTAGGTTCTGACCAATAACAACCCTGTATACAGCTTCCAAGGAACGGATGGTGAACTTGAACTGCCAATCTTGTGGTTCAAACTGACTTTGCAGTCCAGCACATTAACCCACAGTGCCACACCAGGAATAGAGTCACTGTATAGCATCATTATGAGTTGGTATCTACTCAATGGCAGTGGGTGTTTTGGTTTATAAATATAAATTAAAATAAACAATTTATATGAAAATTTGTATTTCAATTATTTCATTTAAATTATCTATGTCACATTCTTATCAACGGAGAAAGGATTGAAGTTGTCAAGGACTTCACTCTTCTTGGATCAACAATCAACACTCACGGAAGCAGCAGTCAAGAAATCAAACGACGTATTGCATTAGGCAAATTTGCTGCACAAGACCTTTTTAAAGTGTTGAAGAGCAAAGATGTCAGCTTGAGGATTAAGGTATGCCTGACCCAAGCCATGATGTTTTCAATAACCTCATATAAATGTGAAAGCTGGACAGTGAATAAGGAAGACCATAGAAGAATTGATGCTTTTGAGTTATGGTGCTAGAGGAGAATATTGAAAGTGCCATGGGCTACCAAAAGAACCAATAGATCTGTTTGGAAGAAGTGCAGCCAGAGTGCTCCTTGAAGGCCAAGATGGCCAAACTTTATGTTTCATACTTCGGACATATTGTCAGGAGGGACCAGTCACTAGAGAAGGATATCATGTTTGGTAAGTTGGAGGGTCAGAGAAAAAGAGGAAGACCCCCAATAAGATGGATTGGCCAAGTAGCAGCATCGATGGACTGAAGCGTGGCAACAGTAGTGAAGTTGGCCCAGGATCAGGCAGTGCTGTGTTCTGCTGTGTATAAGGTCGCTATGAGTCGGTACCGACTCAATGGCACCTAACAACAACAATAATGTCTCATTTGGAAATTAGGAATGGGTGAAAAGAGAATGTATTTGAATTAGAAATTGAAAGATGACCAGAAACAGAGGACCCTAAGACCATCAAGAGAGAAGAGCACAAGTGAAATGCGGAAACCTATCCAGAGAAGCAGCGACACCAGAGATGGAGGCAGAGATGGGGACATGGAGAGAGGTAGCAGCTGAGGACTCTAGATTCATGGGAAGAGAGGGACTGAGAGATGGCAGCCAGGAGGCAGACTTGCAGAATGTGCCCTTTGGTGGTGTAAATTATTATATATGCCTGAGTTTTTTTTTAAAAAAAGAGCTAAAGTGGAGAGAGAGAAATACTGTTAACTGATGATTCTTGGAGGGGATTATAATCATTGTAATGAAACAAAGTGTATGATTTGTTGAATGTAAAACTGAAACCTTTAACTCGACTCACAATAAAAATTAAAAAAGAAAAAAGAGAAAGAAAGAAATATGAGAAGGACTTTTAGTAGCTGTATAGTCAAGTGAAAATAGGTATGTAGTCAGATGACTTCGAGGATTCCAGGGGAAAGAATACATCCACTTAACTTAATCCACAAATGCTTATCAGTTGTTTGCTAGGTGCGAGGCAATGTGTGAGACTATAACAGTGAACAAAGCAAATCCTTTGCCTTCACAGAGACTACTGTTAAACAGTGGAGAGAATCTTAATGTGTAAAGGCACAAATATCACATAATACCAAAGCAGAGAGAGGTCAATGTTCCAAGAAAAATAAATCTGGGAGAGAGGGAACTAAAAAGAAGACCAGAGCTTGTATGAAGAGAGGAAGCAAACCAATCACTTCCAAGGGGTAAAAAAACAGAGCAAAGGCCCTGGAAGAGAACTTTGCCTGTGTTGGAGGAACAACAAGTAGGCACAGCCAGGGAAGGGAAGTACATGAGATGATAACATCAAAGGGACCATCAGACATATCATAAAGGGTCTAAAAGGTCATGATAAGGAGTGCATATTTATTCAAAGTACAAATAAAAGTAATAAACAGATTAGAAGTCTCTAGAGTGTCGTCATCTGATGAGCATTGGTAGAAGCAAAAAGACCATGTGGAAGACTACTTCTGGATTTACTGTTGTTACTATGTGCTGTCAGGTTGGTTCTAACTCATAGTGACCCTGTATAGAGTATCCGAGGAGCAGCTGGTGGGTTTGAGCTGCGGACTGTCCAGTTAGCAGTCCAGTGTTGATCTGACAGTGCCACAAGGAATAATGGTGACTTACACTAAGGTGTGGCGCTGTGGGTTAATGCATCAGACTGCTAA